CCGAGCGCGTCCTGCTGTCCCGGTGGGAGTTGGCGGAGGCAGAGGGGACGGCAGAGGGCACGCGGTGGCCTGGCGCCCCAGCCGCTCCCTTACCTCTGTCCAGAGTCAGCGGCTGGACCACTGTCAATGTCGCCATGTCTGCCGTGGGAGCCGAAGTGACGCTCGGCTTCAGCATCAGCAACCGCTCGTAGTGAGAAAAAGAGGAGGAGACTGGGGGCGGGGGCGGGGAGGGAGCACGGAGAGGAGCGGCGGAGGGGGAGGGAGGAAGGTGCGGTGGTGCCGGAGAGGGAAGCTTGGGCGGCTTGGTGGCCAGATGGAGACGCGACTGCTCCGCGGCGGCCGATCCTCCGACGCGGCGCAGGTACCCGGGCGCCTGCACGGCTGGGCTCCCGGAGGAGGCTCGGCCCGAGAACGCTGAGATTCCGGCCCCGGAGCGCTGGGGGGGCGCAGCGGGCGGGCTGCTTGCGTTCAACTTCACTCCAAGAAAATGGTCAGAATGTACGTGCGTGTCAGGGGAAGGGTGATGAGGGAGGGAGGTGGGGACAGGAGTCTTTCCAAAGGAAGAAAAATTGTCAACCCAGTATCCCGTTCCCTTTGGAGAGAAAATACTTCTTGTGTCAGAAATGTTTGGGGTTTAATTGCAGTTGCTGTTAATTTCTGGTAAACTGTTTTGGAATGTTGACATAACCGTATGCAAGATAACGGACGCAAGGCCAGGGTTCCATCAGTAGGTGTCCGTTTAGGATTTGAGGATATTGCCTAGAAAATCACTTACCTTTAAGAGCGAACTTCTAAAAACTGGTTTTAAAGTAAAAACTTGAAGATCGGTTTCTATCACTAAGTTTGAAAAACAGGTACATAGGTTTTTCACGTTGATCTGTAACCAGTGGTCATTCAGAGATGCTACTTACTGATTAATTAACGTATGTGCTAGGAACTGAGCTAGGAGTGTGACATACCGTGTGTCATGTCTTAATTTATGGTTATAAGTATAGTCCCTACCTTCATGTAGCCTGCAATCTAGTGGGAGATGATGTTTTTCATAGGCTGACTTTAATAAAGTCAGTTGATCAGGATTCAATTGCAAGAACTTTCAAATGACTGTGACCCATTTGTCCCCCAAAACAGACTCCTTTCACTGTCTTTCCACAGTAGTGACTCTTCCTGATCAAAAATTAAGAAGCACAGAGAAACCTTCCATAAGCAGAATGTGGACAACTGTGGGTGAAGGATTGGAAATGACAAAGCTGCCTCCATTTCCTTTCCTGTGACAGAGCTGAATTGTTTTGGCTTAGCAGTAAACTATTACAGACAGACACTGTTTTGCAGCAAAATATTTGCATATAATTGATGCTATTTTCTTCTGATTACAATATGATTTCTGAAGATCTTTTCCATCCTATAGTCTACAGCTGAAGAAAAAAAAAAAAAACAAGCAAGATTTCACCAATGACTGAGAGTCAAAGATGATTAGCAGTACATACATTTAACAGACCCCAAAGACACACCTAAAATAGTAGTTTAATATGCCTATCTTTTCATTTAGTGTTTTAGAAAGAATCCTAATGTTGAAATTCAGGTCTCAGTTATGCGCTCTTCACATAATCTCTCACTGATCCTCAGTTTCCTCATGTCAAATAAGGGAAATGATTTCCTTCAATCTCACAGAGATTCTGTAATATAAGGGAACTAGTTCTACCCTGCAATCTGACTGAATTTTGTGAGGGTGTGATGGGTTCATACATATGAATGTGCTTTGAAAACAGTAAAGAATATACAAATTTATTCATATAAGCATACATCTCATCTGAAATGTGTGGCAAGCATTGCTCTAAGCACTGGTTGTGCAAAGATTAACGAGACATGGCCCTCTCTCTGTACACTGCTCAGTCCCGATTGGGAGACAAATAGTGAGCAAACCATGAAACTTTGCAGTAAGAGCTGTAAGTATAAGAAGGAAGTGCTGTGAGAGTCAAGAGGAGGAAGCAACAGCTCTGGTTGATTATCATTATTCACATCTCCTGAACTAAGCAATCAAACGAAGTTGAGTCGTATTCAATGATATCAGAGTGTGTTCCAAGGCTTTGCACAAAATACCAAACCTCATTCAATAATTGAGGATGGAAAGCACATGCAAATCCCTTGGTCACCAATGTAGTTCTTCTAACAACATGCTTTATTAGGAATATGTATTTGAGCGGCTTGATCCATAAGTCTAAAAGCCATAATCGTACTTATTTCAACACAAATCCCAGATTGTGAGGTCTATGGAGGCAGGGATTTTGTGTTTTGTGTCCTGATATATCTCCAGCACCAAACATTTCATGTTTCCAGACTTATGCCTTGAGATCCCTAACAGAAAATTTGCTGTATCATTTTTTCTCTGTGTTGACTCTAGGTATTTTACTTTTTAAAAGATTAAAAGAGTAAAGTAAGAGGAAGCAAAAATCACCATATACTCATAAATTATTATTTCTGGTAGTGGCAAGTCTAATGCCTTTAGCTTATGTCTATACTGGTGTAGAAAATGAATAATTCATTATCTGTTAGAATTTGTTTATATAAAGGATGAATAACTACTGTCTCTCCAGTAATATTTGTGAATTTCTATTTGAAGAAATTCTATTTGAGTGAATCTGTATGCAAAATGTAAGAAAATTTCCTTAATCTCTTCTTCTGTGTGGGTGAATGTGCCCATGCTTATGTCTCATGAATAAATGCCTGGTCATTCTTTCATCAAGGTCACTGTACTTGACCTGTGCACATATCTGTTGCTTTGTTGTGTATTAATCAAAGAATTGTTTAAATGTCTGTAATTATACTTTTATTTTAGCTACTTGCTTACATGATCACTATACTCTTTTCATTAAATTATACATATTAATTTAGTTCAGTGGTAACTATATATTTATAATTAATCCAATAAACATTTACTGAGCACTTTATACATGCCAGGTTTAGTGTAAGTGATCTTTCCCTTTCTTTCCACCCCAGGAAAGTAGGTATTCTTATCCCATTTTGTAGATAAGTAAACTGAGGCTCGGAGAGTTAAGCAACTTGCTTAAGTATAGTAGCACCTGGATTCAAGATCCCCTGTGCTTTCCACTAAAAAATCCACATTTTATGCTATATTATTAAAGATTTGGTGATTTCAGCCTTTTATTTCAGAGTTGCAGATATGTATATATATATATATATTTTTTTTTTTTCTCTTTTTGTAATTGTGCTTGAGATATACTCAAAGAGAGGAATGCATGAAGGAAAATTGGGTCAAAGGACAAAAGAATTATGATACTGTTTCCATTCTATGTAAATATAGTTAATATGAAAACAACTGCCTACATTGAAATATAAAATCTTCTCTTGTTAGAAAATTCATTCAAAGCCATCTTAAGGTCTCTTTCACTTAATTGAATCTTTTAAAATTATAAGACAAAATCAAGAGAAGGTTTGCATAAAGCATTAGCATACCAAAAAATGTGTTTAGTTAGATCATAAATGGAGTATAATAAGCACAGTTTTATATAAGAAAATAGCACCTTCAAACTGGAATTCTTTCAGCCTGGGTGTTAGAAATTATTTATGTCTGATTCAAGACATCACATTATCTTTCTTAATTCACACAGCTTTGTGAAGATAGCACTAGATTAAGATGAAGTGCTAACCTATACTTCGGAATATAAATGTTTATGTTTTCCTTAAATCATCATAAATACAGTCTTACTATATTTATTTTATCTTTAGATTTGTTTTGATAACTACATACTGTCTGTTCATTCAACTAATACGTCATATACCTGCTATATGCCAGGCTCTGTTCTATGCACTGAGACATTTCTTTTTAATAAGAAAAAGTCCCTGTTCTCACTTGGCTTATATTCTACAGGGAAGAGAAAGACAATACACAAATAAACAAGAAATAGAGCAATTAGTGAATAGTTGCAAAGAATGAATAAGTTGAAGATTAAATTAGGTCAAGAATAATGTGAGGATTATAAAAGACAGAGATAGGAAGAAGGGCTTTCTAGGGAGCAGGGGAACAGAGCCAGGAATGGGAGAGCAGACAAAGTACCTGTTTGGGTAAAATCAGCAGTTCAATTTGAATTATAAGAAAAAACAAGCCTAAAGAGGGCTGTTGAGAGTCAGGTAGTGGAAAGTAATATAATTAATGGAAATATAATGAACTGTCATGAATTACTTTGTACCTATCATATAACAAAATGTACAAATGCAATGTGTGCTAAGAAAAAATTTGTAGCATCTATATTAAAAATTACTAACATCAGAATGAAATGCAGAGTTATTAATTCAGAGTTGGATGTTAGAAAATGAAAGATGAAATGAAAATATTAAAAGTCAATTTTAATTATTTTTCATTTCCTTTCAAAAGAAATAAAAAAGAACTTCAAGAGGAGGACATCTGAATAAATATTCCTCACTTGTGGGGTCTTATTTTTCATTATCTTATGTTACCAGTTACACAAATCATACGTATAACAATCACCTTTTACTCTGAATCCGCCATAGTCAATAACACATATAATTCATAAGTGCAAAATCTTTTTGGTCCTAGAGTGTTTTGTTTATGCCTGTTTGGCTCATAGAATATAAAATAATTTTTTTGTTTCATTTTGAAATGAACATTTTTCTATTTTCGCAGTTGGAAGTTATGATTGATCTTCTAATAATGAAATTTAAATCCAAAGCTTACATTTTTTTTTCTTTTTCTTTATGCATCTCAATCTTATATTTACACAATTGCATCTCAAACTCATATTTACATCTCTTAGGAAAGCCTAAGAGAGACAAAAGATACAAAGCAGACTAATTTTTTAAAGTGATGCACGAGTCGTCTCTTCTCACACTTGCTCAGAAAATATTTTCAGGCTATTAAAACTCACTACCTTCAAAATTTAAAAAAAATTTTAATATATTCAACTTTGTGGGTAAGTTCTGCTTTTATCCAACAAACCTTTATTAAGCCCCTGCTATATGCCAGGCACTGTTCTATGCTGAGAGCTTTGTTTTGATGAAGGCAGATAGATAAAATACAAATAATATAAAAATAAATCAGATAATCTTAGGTAGTGGTGAGCACCACAAACATTGGTGTGCTGAAGACTATTTATACTGTTATGTGAGACCCAATTCAATTATGTGCATCTTGTCTCAACATCAATTTCATTGACACTGTACTGGTATCTTCAGATTGGTCATGGTGGGAGTATTTGCGTCATGGGATTGGCAAATACTATATACGAAAGTTTTCTTTTTTCCTCCAGAAATCTAGTTGTTAAACATTTACTAGCACATCACAAAGTTCATGAAGAAAATAAAACAGAAATTTGTGATGA